AAAGAGCAGACTCTTTAATAGGCTGCACAGATACAAAAACAGAGCATCAGAATCATTACAGAAGTGCAAAAAAACACAACCCAGAAAAACGCAACACAATAAATATCTTATAAATGACCTGGTGGTCGGTCCTTGGGTCAGTCAGGATGAGAAGCCTCGGCTCGCTGAAAGAGGTCTGCAGCTGATTGGTGAATGTTCCGGGAGTGTGACGCCCGGCAATTGCGTGCGCACCAGTGTACTGTGCAAACTTCAGGACAGCCCTCTGACCGTAGGGACGGGCAGACTGGACAATGATGTCCTGTGGGTTCTCAATTCCAACGATAACCCTAGCAGCCATCTGCAGCTTCTCCCACGTCTTTCCAAGGTTAATGATGTAAATTCCTGACGAAATAAGCATAAAAAATTAACAATTGAATATAAATAACAACAGCCCAAACACAAAAACTTAACTACTAATAAGGCCTTAAAACTGTTATATTAAATAAATACTATTTAACCAAGTCATCAATTACAATTAAGTGAGCTGGATTCACAGAAACCCTAATCATGAAATTATCAGCATATTAGGGCAAATCAAGATGAATACGGCAGATAATTAAGAATATTAACACCTAGGTCAAAATTAAAATCAAATGAGTCACTTTACACACACAAGTAAAACAACAGGCTGCATAGATCTTACCAAAAAAGCTAATAAATCACCATTTGATTAACAAAAACGAAGCAAATTCATCAAAAATGAAATCTTTATCATATAGTACTGTAAATTCCAACAGGAAAACACGAGATGTATTCCAATTGATTCATCAATCAAACGAAAGCAAAATAGAACATAAAACCAGATCTCGTTGCTAAAAAAACAAAAATAAACGCCTGTTTCAACAATAACGAAAAAAAAAAACACAAATTGAAGCAAGAAAAACAGAAATTACCATCATTGCGGCGCTTGAAGACGTAGCGCTCCATCTGAAAATTGCAGTTTTTGGTGCCGAGGTGGACTTCGGCGGCCAACATCATTTGAATATCGGCCTCTTTGGTGGAGAGAATCTTCTGAGCCGCCATGATTGGAGGTGTTGGAGATTCGATTCACGCAGGGTTTAGGTTTTCGTTCGCTCGAGAGAAAAAATGTAGCCTCCGAAGTGTTGAGGGAAGAAATGTAACAAGTGAATTTTATAGGTTGGATAAACCCTAATTGGCAGAGCGACTGGGCCGGGCCGTATGAAATTAAATTTTCTATCGGCCTGGATTTTAATCTTGAATACTTAATAGTCTGAATTTAGGGTAAATTTCACTTTCCCCCCTTGTACTTTGGCTCCATATCATTTTCCCCCTTCTACTTTCAATTTCATTGATTTGCCCCCTTTTACTTTGGTTCGATATCACTTTACCCCCTTCTTCTCTCAATTACATTGATTTGCCCCCTTATACTTTGGCTCGATATCAATTTACCTCATTCTACTCTCAATTGCATCTATTTGCCCCATGTACTTTAAAAATTGTCTCAATGTTGCCATCGCTGTTCGTTTTCACATCTATGACTTTAACACCGTTTGATTTAAGTTTGAAAATTACAAAAAAACCACCCCGCCCAGTATAAATAATTATTAAAAAATAAAAAAAAAATAAAAAAAAAAATTGTGGTTGGCGTCCTGTACTATGTTTTCTCGTTGTCTTGAATTTTTTATTATTATTTTTTTTTTTTTGTACTTTTTTCCTGAGTAGAGCGTCTATAGCTTTACGCGGCTGCCTGCCGTCTGAAAAAACCTGAATACTCTCTTT